TTGCTGAGAATTCTCCGTGGAATAATAATAAACGTTTTTACATGTTAATTTGTGTACGGGCGGTGCACAACAGGCATAGCGGATGCTGACTGGATGTAGTGTGATTTATCCCTTTAGTAGAAGATCCGAACCTACATCGACCTTCACCGGGTTGATAATGGAATAAAACTTATTGTATCATTAATTTAGTATATTAGAAAATATATTAAAAATGGGTTCGCTAAAAAAATCCTGGACAGAATATTTTTAAATATTTTTAAAAAAATATTATTTTATTAAATGTTGCAACATCAAGATAATAAGAAAAATTTAATTCTGACTTAAAGTATAAAACATATAGAATGTGCAGACGTTGGGTTGTCTATTATTTACCTGAACGAACTACTGGGTTGTCAGGTAGGTATAAACAGGTATATCGATTACACGGTATACTTTCCTCGGATCTCTCTGTCACTCACTTTCCCACGCGTTAAAATTTTAATTTTTAAAATTCGCAAACCCGTATTAGGACCGAATTTTTTGCAGACAACCCTATATCAATGTGTTCGTAATGAAACAGCGCTTATGTTGATATAATTTTTTTTTTTATTATCAAATCAAGTGAAATTAACTGGCATCGATATACCTGTTTATACCAGACAACCCAGTAGTTCGTCCAGGTAAATAATAGACAACCCAACGTCTGCACATTCTATATGTTTTAAGTCAGAATTAAATTTTTCTTATTATCTTGATTTTGCAACATTTAATAAAAAATATTTTTAAAAAAATAATTAAATATATTCCGTCCAGGATTTTTTTAGCGAACCCATTTTTAATATATTTTCTAATATACTAAATTAATGATATAATAAATTTTATTCCATTATCAACCCGGTGAAGGTCGGTTTAGGTTCGGATCTTAGACTATTTACTTCTTGTAAATAATTGTTTCCTTGATTAAGGACAACATAACATATTTAAATAAACATATTTTGGCGCCCCCCCTAGAACTGCAGCTTAGGGCTGGTGTTTCGATTTACTCCTTTTAGATCCAGGATTGGCTTCGTTATCATCATACGGTTTATTAATATCCACTATACTGGCAATAGCAGACCATAACTCACCTCGATCGAGTCCTAAATAATCATGATCTTTGAGGCACCCTATTCGTGTATTGAACTATCAAAATCCAGTACGGCTTATACCTGATAGCTGAAGGGTGCAGAGGGGGTCGCGGGTTCATTGCTCGCGCCATTGTGGTGCGCGTGCGGCGCCAGCTGCGAGCCCTAGTCGTAGGAAGCAGATGGCAGATTTTAGAAAACGCGCTTTTTTATAACGTAAAAATCGCTATGTTATTCGCTCGGACTACATACTTTGATGGGTTATGTAGAAGGTGTAGAATAAATAACATATAATACTTTTTTTAATGTATATTGTACGTATAGTCACCTCGACCAACTTTTTTTAAATATTTCGAATATTAATTTCAGTGTTAGGGAATACTCATTTAAAAAACACTATCTAGTTTCTCACGATATTTGAACCGAAAGTCGGTTAATTTATATGATTCCTAACAATATCCGGTAGGCCGTTGGGTGCTAGTAAGTTAAGTAAAATAAGTTTCAATTGCAATCCTTTATTATCTTTTGAAGGTTTATTTGATCAGACGTCTAATAGACAGCGCTGGCTGTGTTCGAGGCTGTGACGCTGGGAATGGCCGATTTTTCGCCTATTTTGTTAATTAACTAAAAATTTACGAATTTATAAAAAATATAATACATAGTATGTCTTTTTTTCATTTGATCTCCCTTTCATTCAGTAGCGAGCAGCTGGATTTTATACGTATATGCTTACAACCACACTAACTACATATGTACAGTTATACTATCATTTATGATCCAAGAGAATAAGTTATCGAATAAAAAAAAGAAGCGCCCAACGTGGGGCTCGAACCCACGACCCTGAGATTAAGAGTCTCATGCTCTACCGACTGAGCTAGCCGGGCTGTGGGATGTTTGCCAAAATTTAGTATTTGTTCCTAGAACACATTTATCTCTATAAAAATGAATTATATTTTTTAAAACACACAATAAGTTTTTGACGTAATAGAGAAATATTTAAAATCACTAAAAGAACATGAGAATCGGAAATAATAATAAAAAAAAATCGGTTCTAAAAATTTAGGAATTTACAAACAGTTCACGAAAGAGATACACTGGATCGATTCTTTTTACTCATAACGCCATCTCTATTTTTTTATCCAAAACACTATCCTGAGAATTCTACCACACTCACTATCCTACCACAATGGCAAGCATATTTAATATTAACTTTCTACTATTATTCATAGATGGCGCTACTTAACGTAATGTAAACTACATTACCAAGCTATAGATGCCGCAACGAGTCTATAAAAACCATTGTTTTTGTGAAACTAACGATTTTTATAGAGATAAAAAAAATTACGTTAGCGTACTAGGCCATAACAAATGACTCACCTGTGTATGATTGTATCACGCTTGATGACACATTATAAGAAGGTCGTATAAAAGTAAAGGCTTATGACCACGATTTCATACTATTATCATCGAAATTAGATTTCTTAGTCAACATTCCTCATTTGTAGAGTCATTGCCTGCTACTACTCTACTCTACATTACAGTTCAACTTACGAACAAATATATTGGATTATTATCTAGATGTTTCAAGAGCAAGGTCGCGATGATACTATCACCTCCACATTATTATCACAATAAAAAAATATAAAGTCCATCCGTGCCACTTTGTTCGTAAAACTCAAAAAAATACCTAACAAACTATATACGTATTATGGATTTTGACAAATTTATGGAATTAGAAATTCATGAACAAGATTTTGATATGTAGATTTTGGTTTAGTGTAATTGTTTGCATTGATGCAGGATTTCAATGAAAAAAGGCATATTGTCAGAAAGTGCACCCGTTCGAAGACAAGACAGGTCGCTAATTACCGTCTAATTACTGATAAAGGTGGTTGAGTGAATATGTCAACACAATGATAATGAATGCTGCTAGATATAACTATCTGTGTATAGAATAGACCCTGACTCTCTTGAATAGAATGTAAAGGAGCAGTGTATTTTTTTGAGAATGATACCAACTTCGTAAACTATTGTAAAATAAAAAAAATAAAACTTACTATATGTTGTTTACTTAGATATCAACGTCTAATATTATTTTTAAAATAGTTCGTGTCCGTGACATTTGCACACATGCATATCATTCGAGTTTCTTGCTACTCTAGCAGCTAGACGGTACGTATCGTATCTCTTTTTTTGATAAGGTGGTAAATTTGAGAAAAACAATACTTATTGGTATGGAATTTATTGGAACTGGAAATATTCTGTTATTGCCTTTAGCTGATCCGACATTTACGAATGTTAATTGCAAATAAATATGCTAATTATGTAGTGATACTTAATTTTATAATTTAAAAGCTCAATATAGACAAATGTCATTAGTATTTACCCAAAGGTCAACATGACCATGACCCATGATGGCAGGTCAAAGGGGTGGTGAAATCAGCACATTTTCATTCCTTTCTTTTCTTAACTTTTTTAATTACCCGAGATTATTTTCACATCTTGTTTAGGTGGGTGCGCAAATGATTTGGCCATTTTCCCCAAAATTAGTTGTTGTTTTCTTAAATACGGTGGATTTAAGTGCTTCCTAATAATATTGATTATTTAATAAATAAGTCAATTGTATTTTTGAAATTATTTAGTTTAATAAATGTAAACGTTGCCATAGAAAAAAAAAATTTGTATTGTCCAATAGTATTGTTTTGAAGGTAGCTATACTCTTAATTACGAAAACAATAAACACCTTAGTCTTATGTGAACACGGAAACTGTAAAGGGTCCGAAACGTCAATAAAACTAAATACAAATGCGATGAAACCGTTTAAAAGTTGTTTCAATTATAGTTACTTAAGATATCGATTTTCTAAAATCACAAGAAATAAAATTAAGAATATACCTATGAACATATAATTAATAGATAGCGAAATATCATTCCCGTCGATCAAATTTCATAAAGTCATCATCATGATTCACGTCATAACTTAAAATAATTTCATGAATAATCATGCATCAACGACGAGAATGATTAAATCTTCGTCATAATAATGACGTAGACATTTACGATTATGCGAATGATGTCATCATATTATCATCAAAGTAGTAGTGATGACACCTGGATACAAAAAATAAATTCTATTTATTCCGTCGGTCAGATAATAAAAAAATATTTGATAGACAGGTAGGTATACATTTTTTTTACACCGATTTAAGAAATGGCTTAGATAATATAATCATTACAGTTGAGGTGTGGGGGCTCACTACGTCACAGCTTTGTAGAAGATGTACAATTCATACGATATTTCAACTTAATGTATCGCTGTAGTTTAATGATGCAAAAAAAAATCTTGCTTAATATTTTTCAATAATCCACCTGACGGACAGACAAAAAAAATATATTGTATTAAAAGATAGTACGTATTTATAAATTAGTATTTGATAATGTTATTCATATATTATCTAAACTAATCTAGAAATGAAATATTACATTGTTTATTTGCATCGAATAGGCTCCGAAACGAATGAACATATTAAAAAAAATATTTCACCTACGGATAGCTACATAGGCTACATTTTACGCGTGCGAAGTCGCGGGACAACAGCTAGTCGATTATAAAGCTTTGCATCATTAATATGCCAAGAAAACAATATTGAAACTTACGGTAAAACTCACTTGACTACGGTTTGGCAACGTCGCGAATTTGGAGCGTAGCCACGAGCTACGGCGGCGACGCCCGACATACGTGGCATCTATGTATAATACAGCCGTGGCGGCGTGGCGACGTTGCCACTATTACGAATGCACAAACAGCACCCCATTCACTCGGTGGCCAAGCAGCCGCCATTTTGGGCGGTCGGTCGAATTTTAAGAGTGTATTTGTACATGAAATGATGTTTTAAAATGAATTTTGATACAGAAAAATTTATAGTGGAAATAAAAAACCGTCCTTGTATATGGGATAGCACATCAACAGATTATTCGGACCGTAATTTAAAAATTAAAAGTTGGGATGAAATAGTTGACATATTCAAAGAAAAAGAAGTAATGACGATCCAAGAAAAGAAAGTATTGGGTAAGTGCGATATGTAACTCATTAACTTTTAATATTAGATAAATATGTAGTTTCCTTAAACATCTCGGTTTTGTCAATGAAGTTCTAATGCTTCTACCTCCTACTGCTACTTCAATGATTGTTGAAATAGTCAAAACCCTTTTCAGAGTATCTTTGCAAGAATAACCATTTTGCAATATACCTAAAATAAGTTCTTACGGTAGCTTTTTCCAAATCTATATACATTCATTGGGTTATGAAAAAATCGTTAAATAAAATACGTACAAACGTACATTATATTTATCGGCGAGCATGACGACGGTAGTTAAATATTTTGCTTATAACTAACTAAAATCGTACCTACCACACTATGTTTTACCGTGTGTTTTATATCCTAACGCAAAAAAAATCATCTCTTTATGGAATACTCTTAGATTAAACTAATCGAAAAGGTATTTACTGTAGCACAGAGTTGTTAAACCGTTTCATAGAATGTTAATTTGAGCTTAAATCTTATAAAATGCAACCTACTGCTTAAATAAAATAAATTTAAAAATGAAATTAAAAACTTATTAACTCAAAGTGCCCAAGTGTCACTTCTAGTTACGCGCATCTCTGTTTCTGATTGTTCGTTTTTGCTGGTTACCTTCATATTGTAATCTAATTTTACTGTACGCATCACAGAACAGAAAGAAAGAGGTACACATAATTCTTAATTTTAAGAAGTGTTCATTACGCTTTCGTATCTACTAAGATTTTATGTCCATTCCTCAAGTAAGTGAATTATGTAAATTCTTGTGAGATATAAATATAATCATAAAGTAAACTAAGGAAATCTTGTTATGTTCTCTTGATTAATGCAAAATTTTATCAATAAAAGAGGGTATCGATAATAAGGAGTATCAATAACTTGATAAATATGCTAATAAAAGTAAACTTTTTAATTACAATGGTGATACCTGATTTAGCTAGACAACGATGTATTTGTGTAAATCTTTGTGTTTTCCCGCAACTTTCGTCCACGTAAATTATTGTCTATGTCACCCATGAATGGTTTGCTTAAAGATATAAGTATATTGCTACATGTAAATCCACTAATTAAAATACTGAAGTAAAGATAACAAATCTAACATTTCAGGTTTTTTCAAATTTTTATTCGCTACAATTTCATAAATTATTGCGCTTTGTGATAGAACGATTTACTTATATTATTTATTATTTTCAGTTGACACTTTGCAAAAAAGGTGGAAAAGTATACGTGGATGTTTCACACGAGAACTCAACCGCCAAAAATCTTTGAAGGCCGGGACTAGTAGTGGACCACGTAAAAGTGAATATATGTTTTTTAAACAACTCTTGTTTCTCCAAAAGGTTGTCGCATTAAGAGAGCCTGAAGTTACCGCTACAGATTCTGATTCTGAGTCACAGCAAGACAGGCAAATGATAAATTTCGCTAAAAGACCAAAAACAAAAGAGACTGCACCTGAAGATGACAAATTCTTAGAAGCTCTTGATAAAATTATTAAAACAAGAAAACGACATGAGATGGGAAGTCAAGATGAAGACAGGTTATTTATGCTGTCTTTAGTTAGTTCATTAAAAAAAGTGCCACCCCAAAGAAAAATGTCAACTAAAATTAAAATTATGACTGTTCTTGAAGAGGCAGCCTGTTTTGAGACTGACACTGATGATAGTTCATAATACTATTACAACTATTGATCATAACAACCAGAACAGCCGTCTCGAGGACTCAAGGTTATAGTGGTGACTGGATAACCTACCGTTCCCTAAAGCCTTTTATGAAGAACATACTAGTTTCTAAGATAACGTTGTAAGCGGCACGACAATTGAACCAAAATCGCGTTACGCAAAAGCAAATTTTCGGGTCTCAGTCGAAGAAGTTGGACTTGCCAGCAGTGTACAAACGTGGATAAAACAACTTAGTGGTTTATCCATCAAAAGATACAGTAGTGTAAACAGACGAAAAGACCACTATAGCATCAATATGACATCGTATCCTATGGTTTTGATTCAACTTATTCGCCGCGCATTATATAAGTTTTACATATATAATTACCTAATGTGTCATTTATGTAAATTTGATTAAAATATTACTTACATAATTTAATTATAATATAGTTATTCTCCCTAACGTATATGTAGTAGTATAAGTTCATTAATAGATAATTTATGCTATTAACTTTCTATCTGTCCTCACTCATTATAGAATCAAAAAATACTTACTTTGGCTTCGATAACCATATCCTAGTTAACTAATTACTTATTTTTCTTTTCCATTACTATCATAGACGTTTAACTTATAATTAAGAAAGTATATTAGATTATCCAAAACCTTAATTATCTGAATGTTGACGTGGTTTTTCCGAATATAGATTTTAGTTTATCCGAATGTTCGATTTGGTATATGAATTTTACTCGTAGCTCGTAATTATTTACATTGTCTTATCCGCTGCCTTTTTACATGACTTTCGACTTTTTTAGATGTTTATATTTCAACGTTAAAGTTAAATTCATCTATTCCGTCTTGGCTGTAACAAGCACTTATGAAATTTATAAAAGTAGAAGAATTCAAATGTCTATTGCATTTAGTCGTATACACAGAAAAAACTTTTTGTATGTGGTTGTATCTTTATGGTCAGACAATTGACAAATCTAGTGTTTCTCCAGTAGCTTTAGTTGTTTTAATTAGTTTGCACAGAATATTCCAGAAATTTAGAGAAAATAGTTTTAGTCAAATATTAAATTTTAAGAAAAAGGTGCATAATTTTAAGAAAAATAACACAAAAGCGTAGGATTAAGTATCTCTGAAAAGTTTTAATTTTTTTGCTGAAAATGTTAGTTTTCTTGTTACTTGTGCTTTTGAGATACTACAAAAATTTCGTTTGATTGGCATAATTTATTTGTCATCATAAAATTACAAACTGACTCGTTACTTATAAACTATATTAGGGTTATAATAGACTGCTTTTATGAAACAATCAAAACATTCCTCTTTATAATTTTAATATAGATAAGATTACTATATAATGCCATCAACAAAAAAAATGTATAATGAAAAATAAATAAAATACAATTAATAATTAAAATTAATAATATTAAACTTAAATAAATAAAATTACTCCTAAAAATAAGCTGGCACCTAACGAAGAACAAAATGAATTATTTATTAGTTACGAAGGTGGGCAGGGACCAGTAATGCCCAAGAGACATGAGGCTAGCTTTTTAAGCCAAGTTAGCAGTCCAGTGTATAGAGAAATTACTACTAAGTACCTTTGTTAATAGGCTTACTAGACTAGAAAAGTCATACAGATAGACAGACCAGACAACAATTCGAATGAGGCACTAGTTGCTTAGCACAGCCCTTCTTCAAAGAGTATTAATAGTTTTATTTGACTGTGGCAGCGACACTGTCACATTAAAGAATAAATAGCAAAGTTGGCTAGGCTAGTTTTTCGAAACTAGACTCGGATATCTCACAACCAGTTGCACAAATGTCCATTTAATTTTTCATTAGTTTAAAACGACATTACCCATACAAATTTGACATTCATAATTCATAGAGCTTAAAGGCGTCCTTAAACCTTAATGGACGTTTGCGCAACTGACCGTCAGGCGTACAAAACTCAAATTTCTTCTTTTCATTGAAATAGGCCGACATATTAACCCAATCGCAGTCGTTTTTTTGGCGCGAAATCTTAAAAATGTTTGAAATAATATTCAGTTACTGTTTTTTTTCTTATTATTATGATAACACAAATTAAACCTCTGTAGTTATTAGATGTTATCCTAAACTGTTATTTATGTTTGTTTACTTCGTTAATAAATAGAAAAAAATATGAATAAATAAATGCATCTGCAAGGATTTTTACGTCGGTGTCATCTGCAATGAGAAAGTATTTAAAAATAAAAAGAAAGCACCAAAAAAGCACCTCCACTAGATGGCGACTCTAGCAAAAGTTGATTATTGCAGGAAACGAATGGACCAAAGATTCTTTTCTGTTTCTTTTAACTATAATATTAAAAAAACTGAAATTTGCAAAGTTCGAAACTTACATATCAATACAAATACGAGAAATTTCAAATAGAATATGAGTTATTTATTGAGTATTGAAAACTAATTTAATACACGAAATAAAACAGGAATGGTTGTCATGGAGAAATCAAGAAAGTACTGTAGTTCTAGTTTGATTTCGGAAACGAATGTTTTTTTTTAAATACTTCCTCATTGTTTTGTAGTCGCTTTGGTCAATTTTATTCCAAATGTTCTTTATTTTTTAGATTTTGCCGGATTTGAATAATATTTTTAATTAATCATTTTGATCAATTTTACATTCATAATGTATATTGGCTTACAAAATCCACCCACTCGAGATGAAACTCGAACCCACGACCTTTGGCAATGCGGTCGACTACTCTAACCACAGAGCTACCCAGCAGAACTGACGAATTTTTCAAGTACTTGTTACTTTACGCTACTGACCAATAAAATATTATCTCGAGCTACTTCGTGCTTCGGAAGGCACGTAAGTCGTTAGTCCCGGCTGCATTTGCAGTCGTTAATATCCTCCAATCCGCATCGGGCTAGCTTGGAGGGTCATAGCCCATCCTCTTTAACCATCCATATGGAAAGCCTGAGCCCCTGCAGTGGGGACGTAAAAAGGCTGTTGATGATGAGCGTATAGACAATCCACCCAAAAAATATTTTTACAAATATTTTGAACATTCTATTAATATACAAAATTTGTTCTGATCATTATATTGTATTTGCCCTGATCAATTTTGAATTCAATAATTATTCAATTTTACTAGTGACATATTTTGGAAATATAAGTGAAACTGTAAACTAAGCGGTCATACATTCTTTTTTTTTTGTTAAAATTTTACAACTGGTAGTGACCTCCAAATCGATGAAATTTAAATGGGACATTGCGGTCCATTAAGCTGTCGAATAAAAAAGAATTTTGAAAATCGATCAACAAAACGCGGAAAATACATAAAAAAAAATACATCGCCGTCGAACATAACCTGCTCCTTTTCGATTTTGAAGTTGGTTAACTTAATATAGTAATAAAATTCCTCAACAAGCTTCTGGATAAATGTCTTAAGGATTATACACAAAATACCTGAAACGTTTCCCGCTGCAGACTGTTTACAGTTACACAATGGATTTTTATACGGTTTTCAACAATATACAGAGTAATTCGAGAAGGAAGTTTTAATTATTCGTTGCATCATAAATCATAATTTAGATAATAGATAAAATTGTATTTTTGAAACGGAGTAGATCTTATCTATGACCTATAGGATCGAAACGACCACAGACCGGCAGGTAGTTAAGCCAGAAGTTATGTAACAAAACAAGACCTTGACCGACGTAGTATAATCTCGAGGTTTGACAGACTGGATCTAATTTTAACACCTTTTCTTTCTAACAAGATGTGTTAAAATTTATCTATGTACTTACTTAGTAAATAGTGACAAAACATCATCAATAATGGTGGACATTTGCAATTCCTTAGCTTCTCATAAGTATACAAAGCTAGCGATTCAGCCAGTTTGTAAGTCTTAAAATTTCAAAAACGAAACGCAGTAAGTAGATATAAATATGAACGAAGATTTGAACTCTATTACTTACAGTAAGAAGTACAAATTACTGAGATGTCTAAGTATGACATCATCTATGTTACGGTCGGTGCGACGCGTCGGCGCCGAGGCCGTGGGATGTGGACATTACGTGGTTGGTACGCCGTCCCCAGTTCTGAGGCAGCATTCCGCTTGAACGAACGCAAGATCCAAGTTCGATCGGTGTACATACGAAAACTTTGCAACAATGTCCAACGTTATGGGTAAGTCTTTTTTTTAATTTATAATTGAAATAAAAAAAATGTATTTTCTCTCTTTGAAAAATTAATTAGAAAATAGTATAATTATGTATTTATTATTTCAAGTCTTTGATCAGTGAAATTAACATTAAACAAGTATTCAAATCAAATGCGGCATTTTTGACGGAACGCACTTTGAAATACCTAGCCGGCGTTTTCCTGGCTAACGTCCAAAATCGAGGCGTGGTGTTGCCGCATACAAACTTATTTTTAATCAATAAATAAATACTTACGTTTATTTTTCTCTCTCTTGTAGGTTACTTTCGATCGTGCATTACAAAAATAAAATTGTTACTAGGAAAACATTGCAATGTTACAGTACCGTAATACTACAAAGTGACATCAGATTTATTTAGCTTGTAATTATTTAGACATGACATCATCAACGCTTGATACTACATTATTGTCAAGGATTTCTTAACTATTGCATTTACTTAACGTTATTAAGTAGGTAGTTACCTATAGTGATTTTCCCTTGCATTACAAGATTATTGATTATCGATTTTGTTTCATCATTTTAAGATCATTCTAACTGTGCTTAAATCAGTTGGAAGCTTATATGTATGCCTATTAACGCGTATTGATAAGTAAACTTAATTAAGAAGTTTTATAGGTACCTAAATTTAAACGGATCAATACAAAATAAATATTTATAGTAATGAAGTAGGTGGGTATTTTATAAATTACACATTTTTAAGCGATTAGTCTTTCAGTAGAACAATAAAAAATATGTACTTCAGGCTATGAATCGCATAATGTTTTCGAATAATTTGATTTTGGTACTGACTAAATTACCTT